AGCAATTTGGCTTTTTGGTTCTGGTTCTGGAGCCCCCTACCCTCACTCCTTGTAACTGACATTTACTGAGATAGACTGAGAAACTCTGTGCAGTCTGACCTTTACTCTGACTGGCTGGTGGAGCCCCACCCACGAATTGATCTTTACCCACATTGCCTGGGGTGGGGTGGCACCCAAGGGTTGATCTTTACCAGGATTGGTTGGCACCACTTCCGTGACTGATGAAAACCCTAAAACATGAGGCTCAAATGGGGCTTCCTGATAAATGAGATCCAGGAGAGGAGCATCCTTTACACCTGTGACCTGAGCAGGATGAGTAAAGCTGCAACAATCAGGAAGCAGAGACAATGGGCAGTCCCAGACAGTAGCAGCAGAGTGTAAAGACCAAATTGGGCCAAGAGTTGGAGGAGTGACCAATAGCTGGGCTCGCCGAAGGACATCATTTACTTTTCTGTTTGAATGTTTCCTGATGGGTGAATGAACCTTGGTTTTGGGGAAGGGTAAATTCCCCTTTTAGTCTTTGAGGTCCTGTTCTGGGACCCCTCCTGAACCTCATCCTTTGCATATCCTCATTTCTGTTTATATCTTTTATTTATCTCTCTCTCTGTTCTTAAAGTTGTGATTGCAGTAATGTTGTTTCCATGAGTTCTCTGTGACCTTTATAAATATCAAAGCCAACAGAGAAAGAGGAGGGGGAGTGGATGGTGTCAGAAATGGTGGAGAAGTTGGAGGATGGGGGTATATTTGTCCTCTGCCAAAGAACCGGCTTTGATTCTTATGGTCAGAGTTTTTATTGCACCGACTTCCTATTTTATAAATAGGAAAGTTGAGAGCCCAAGAATGGCATTGACTTTGCCCAAGGCAACACAGCAGTCAGGCAGCAGAGCAACGACTGGGACCCAGTGTTCTTTTCTCATACCTCACTGCTTATCACTATGTCTCAGCATTCCCATGAGATCAAGGTTGATTCAAAACCAAAACTACTTAAACATAGCTCCCTCATGATAGCAAGGAAGGCAATGGTGGGTGAGAGATGTCAAGACATTTTTGGAAGATGGAAAAAGATAGATTGGCAGAGTGGGAGAAGGTAAAGCATAATAATTTCAGAAGGGAAAGCCACGGAGGGCAACAGTCATGCCAGAAACACTGAGGGGTAAAAGTGTCCAATATCTCAGATGGATAGGATGAAAATAGGAGGCTTGGTTCAACATCTTTATGTGGAACAATTAGGAAACTTTAAAATGAATTCTAAAAATGAAAATATATATACAAAAAAAAAAAAAACCTCACTGCCATCGAGTCGATTCTGACTCATAACGACTCCATTGGGTTTCCAAGGAGGTAAATCTTTACAGAAGTAGATTGCCCCATCTTCCTTCCATGGAGCAGCTGGTGGGTTTGAACTGCCAAACTTCTGGTTAGCAGTCAAATGCCTTAGGCACTATGCTACAAGAGCTTACTCAGGACCATAGTACTAGGGGACACCAAGTTCAATTGGCACAACAGAGTACATAAAAATCTTGTGCCACAACTTACTTTGGTGAGTAGCCACTGGGATCATAAAAACTTTCAAATGGCTATCTAAGGAGCAACTATTAGTCTCCTCTCATCTGAAGCAAAGAAGAATGAAGAAAATCAAAGCCATTTGGAAACAATTAGTCCAAAGATATGATGGACCTTGAAACCAGAAGAACTAGATGGTACCCGGCTACCAATGCCAGCCACTGGGGAAGGGATCAGAACTGGAGATCCTGGATAGAGTGGGAAGAAAAATGTGGGAAAAAATTCAAAAACAAAATTCAAAATGACCGGTATTACTGCTCAGGTAGGGTCTAGTGGAGCCCCCAACACTGTGACCCTGGGATACCCTTCAGGCCTAGGATTGGACTCACTTCCAAGGACTGGCTCTCAGCCCAACAGTAGAAAAACGTACATGCAGAACACCCACCGCAGGGCAATGCACACACCTACTCTAGGGACATATACCCCTTGGAGCAATTGGCCATGGGGCACCAGAGGGGCAGCATTCACATGGAGGGAAAGCTGGACAGACCAGAGTCCATAGTTAAGAAGGGCACAGAGAGGGGGTGGTCACAGGGATGGGAAGGGAAGAGAGTACATTACGGTGGGGGATGGTAATCGGGGCGTGAAATCAAATGTACATGAACTGTTGAATGTAAAATAAACTCTGCTCTGTAAACTAGCACCCAAAGCACAATAAATAAATTCTTTCTTTCTTCCTTTCTTTTTCTTTCTTTCCTTCTCTCTCTCTCTCTCTCCGTCTCTCTCTCTCTCTCTCTCTGTCTAGGAACTCTGGTGGCGTAGTGCCTAAGGCATTTGACTGCTAACCAGAAGGCTGACGGTTCAAACCCACCAGCCACTTCTCAGAAGGAAGGTTGGGCAATCTACTTCCATAGTGATACTGCCTTGGAAACCCAAGGAGGGGTCGCTAAAAGTCAGATCTGACTCAACAGCAGTGTTTGTTGTTATGTGCCACAGAGTCAGACCCGACTCATAGCGACCCCTCACGTTATTGTTGTTATGTGCCACAGAGTCAGACCCGACTCATAGCGACCCCTCCTTGGGTTTCCAAAGCAGTATCACTACAGAAGTAGATTGCCCAACCTTCCTTCCAACAAGTGGCTGGTGAGGTTGAACCACCAGCCTTCTGGTTAGCAGTCAAATGCCTTAGGCACTATGCTACCAGAGCTCCTATACACACACACACACACACACACACACACACATATATATGATTAAAATACAACTACAACTGAAGAAAAAATTCACAAACTTAATATTTTTTTCTAGTTGTTCTCCTGTTGATTCCAACTCATGGCATCTTAGGTGTGTTCTGTTGGATTTTCCATGGCTGATTTTTCAGTAATAGATCATCAGGGTTTCTTTCTGAGACATGTCTAGTTGGACTCAAACCTCCAACAGTTGATTAGCAGTTGACCATGTTAATTGTGTCATCCAAGGCAGATTAGTGGAAATTGCTTAGAAAAACAAGGCACTATAAAATATAAAAGAATTGGAAAATAGAAAAAGGTTCTTTAAATAGAAGTACCCAAAGAGAATATTTGAAGAGAAAATATCATAGAATTTTCCAGAACCAAAGGAATACATGAATCCACAGATACTGGAGGACATGCTCCACAAAAACAGGAGAGTAAACAAGAAAGGAAGATGCAGAATCCAAACAGAGGGAACCCAAAGGATGAAGGTGAAGAAGGAGACCAGTGCTGGGGTCTAGAGGGCAGGAGGACAGCGGGCTTCAGTAGGGAGATCTCTAATGGGGAAAAAAAAAAAATTGAATTGTTCATTATCTGATACATTTGATTTTGTAGAAAAGAATGTTGAGTGGGGCTTTACAATTTTTTTAGAGAATTTGCAATCAATGATCAATATATAGAAACCTAAGAAAATTGACAAGAAATACAATTATTAACTCTAGAAAAAGTGCTAAGTTTATTAGAAAGAACCTGGAGTCATATTAGAGGTGAATCTAAGATGTGGTAGGTATGGCACGTGCCCTGGGGACCACTAAAAGGAGAACACCACTGAGCAGTTTCTATTAACCCGATAACTTCCTTCCTCAAGCATGGTAGGCATCTAGAGGCATAGGGAAGCATGCCCCCGGGCACAAGTACAAGGAAGTGTGGAACATTCCAAGGCTCCCCAAATATGAGATGCTTGAGTCACCATCAACACCTATTGAATTTTGAAATTGGTGGGGGGGGCGGGGAGGCAACTTAGAGATTGCCCCTGGGAGCTACACCCTCTCTATGGTCATACTGTGCTATTTAGTTCATAAATAAACAGTATTTACACCTGATAATTATATAAACAAAAAATATTGATTCAACCAAAATCTATAACCAATTCTTTTGAAGGAATGAAGGGAGGGAAGGGGTAAGAATACTAACTTATCATCTTCTATAATAGAAAGTCAATAGGTTAGTTTAAATTTTAAAAATCAAGGAATGGTAGAGTGGGTACATTATTTCAAAATACAGAAGTGAAAGACCTGAAGAAATAACTAAAAGACTGGAAAGTATTTGAATCATGGATATGGGACTCAGGAGACTGAATGGGGCAGACAGTAACTGTTTCCATTGCAAGTCTTGTAGAATTGTTTGACTTCTTAAAAATGGATTCAATTAAGAATTAAACTACTGTTGTTGTTGTTGTTATGTGCCATCAAGTCGGACCCGATGCATAGATACCCCACCTTGGGTTTCCAAGGCGGTATCATTACAGAAATAGATTGCCCAACCTTCTTTCCAAGGAGTGGCTGGTGGGTTCTGGTTAGCAGTCAAGTGCTAGGGCAGGTAATATCATTCTTACTGTCACCTTACCTTTTTCTTACACCTCTCCTCCAACTTCCTCTTCACACACACTGAATGGTTTCAAAAGTTTGGGGAAGTGAAAACTAATTTTTCTTCAGAAAAATTGAAAATGCTACTTAAAATGCATAGAGGGTCATTGTGATTTTGTCTCTACTGGTTTCCTTACATAGTTCTGCTATACCCCCCCCCCAGCATCATAGTTACAACTCTAGAAAAAGTCATTGATTATTGAAATCTTTGTCCATTTTATGGGAAACAACATGTTATCAATACCTGGTTGATTCTTGCCATTTGTTTCACTTAAAAATTATTTCACTTCCTCTATGATATATTAGGAGTCCCTGGGTGGCACAAACAGTTTAACACTGTACTAGCTGAAAGGTTGGCAGTTTGAATCTACCCAGAGGCTCTTTGGAAGACAGGTCTGGCGAGCTGCTTCCAAAAGGTCACAGTCTCAAAAGCTCTATGGAGCTGTTCTACTCTGTACCCATGGGGCTGCCATCAGTCAGAATAGACTCAACAGCAATTAACAACAACAATATGATATAATCCATCAGTGGCATCAACTTATTTACTTGACACAGTGAATGTCATGTATAAAAATGCCATATAGAGAACTCACACTGTCGATGTGTTTTTCCTTTCCAGGGCTCAGAATTGGAGTTTCCTGAAAGACTATGATCTGATGGTAAGGCGAAACATATTCTGGGAAGATATACTTGCATTTTGAGTATTTATTCATTCTTTCAAGGAGCTCTGGCAGCACAGTGCCTAAGGCATTTGACTGCTTACCAAAAGGTTGGCAGTTCAACCCCACCAGCTGCTCCATGGAAGGAAGATGGGGCAATTTACTTCCGTAAAGATTTACCTCCTTGGAAACCCAATGGGGGTTGCTATGAGTCAGAATTGACTTGATGGCAGTGGGTTTGGTTTGGTTTATTTCATTCATTCTTTCAGTCATTCATCTAACATTTATTGAGGATCTACGTGTACTATATGCTGGAATGTACAGAGATTGTCTTAGGCTTAGTTCTTTAGAGAAGTAAAATCAGTGAATTATATATAAAACCAAAAACTCACTGTCATCGAGTCAGTTCCAACTCACAGTGACCCCTCCTTGACTTTCCAAGGTGATACCTCTATGGAAGTAGATTGCCCAGTCTTCCTCCCAAGGAGTGGCTGGTGGGTTTGAACCACCACCCTTCTGTTTAGCAGTCAAATGCCTTAGGCACTGCACCACCGAGCTCCATATCTATATCTATATCTATATCTTTATCTATATATAGAGAGATTTATCTCAAAGAAATGGCTCACAAGGTTGTAAGGGCTAGCAAGTCCCAAGTCCATGGGTCAGAAGTCAGGCTGGAGGCTTCTCCTGACTCATGCAGCTGCAAGGGCTGACAACTCCAAGATAGGCAGGTAGGATGGATGGCTAATGGTTCACAGGTTACATAGGCTAACTAATCCCAAGATCAGCAGGCAATATGGCTGGCCACTGGCTCAAGCCCAAAGAACCAGAAGTCAGATGATGATGAGCCTGATGCAGGATCCAGATTGAACAAAACACCAAAGAGTTTTGCCAGGACGTCCATACATATTGTAAGCAGGCCACATCCCTGAGGAACCTTCCTTTCAACTAATTGGCTGCTCATAGCAGATCTCATCATGAAGGTGATTACATCATATCAGATCTCATGATGGGGACTGACCATATCATAACTGCTAAACTACTGAAAATCATGTCCCAGTTAAGTTGACACACAATCTTAATTGACAGAGATGAATAAAATATAATTTCATTTCAAGAAATTCAAGGTGTAGTGGAAAAGAAAATATTCATATAGAGCATTTATAATTTTTTCCCCCAGTAGTTCTTGATTTTATTAAGATGAAACAATTGGAAATGATAGGCATTTGCTGTTGAAAATTTTACCTGTATGAGGATATTAGATAGGTATACTGATGTGTATGTGGTATGCCCAGTATAGAGAATAAGTTTGGGTAACAATACTTTGTGAACTAATTCCCTAATATCATCAACTCCAGTCCATCCTCCAGGTAGCCATGAGAGTAATTTTCCTTAACTAGAAAATGTCACCCCTCAGTTTAAAATCCTTCAATAAATAGATCCTCAGGTAAAATTTGAATTTTCAACATGACTTACAGTGCTTCTTGAGGTCTGACCCTGCCTACCTGTCCAGCCTGTTTGCTTTCTCGTACTAACCAGTGTTCTTTGTTCTTTCCATGCTTTTATGCATGTTGTTGCTCAGACTGAAATGCACGTCCCACCTTGTCAGACTGATGAACTTTTTTTCATCCTTCAAGATCCTACTCAAGTACATACTCCTCAAAGAAATCTCACTTTCCCAAGCAGGTTGGATCAGGTCACACCTTTCTTTGAATCACCAGCATATCTCATCTATTCTTTTGTTGTAGCATGTACTTGTATTACTGCAATGATCAATTTCGGTACACTGGTAGGGCCTTAAGAGAAAGAACAAAGATGGACTTATCTCTGTGTTCTGCCCCTAGCACCAAATACAGTGTCTAGCACTCTGTGTTGGATGAATTAATGAATGGGGAGTGAATCTAGCTATGAAAAGAATGGTCAAAGAATAAACCTGAAAAATGACATTGTAGAAAGTCAACCAAGAAAGTATCCACATTGACCTGAAACTTGTGAGCTTTAGAAGATGTTTTAATACCTGCATTGCTGGACTTGTTGGACTAGTTGCTGTCTGATATAGGATAGAAAATGCAGTTCCTGGGGACTGAAGTCCTACACTGACCTTCCAGCCTACAACAGTCTCTCCCTGCCAAGGGCTTATACATTAGCAGCATGACTATTGAAACCTGTATCACACCCAAATAGTGCCACTTCAATATAGATTTTTCCAGGTAAAAACCAGGATCTTATTCCTTCATTATGGTCATGTTAGATGACACAGGGTACACAAAGTTAACCTTAAATATGGGCATCAATAGCTGAGTATTTCTCCCATTGATTGTATTATTCTTAATGCATGCACATTCATTCATTTATCAGTTATAAGTGTTGTTAACCAAACTCATTTGCCACATACTAAGGTATGCAGGAGCTCTGGTAGCGTAGTGCCTAAGGTACTTGACTGCTAACCAGAAGGCTGGTGGTTCAAACCCACCAGCCACTCCTTGGAAGGAAGATGGGGCAATCTACTTCCATAGTGACACTGCCTCGGAAACCCAAGGAGGGGTCACTATGAGTTGGATCCGACTCGACGGCACATGTTAACAAAAACAACAACAACAAGAGGCATGCATGTACATGAATGCTCAGGGTGGGACTAATCAAATACCCCAAAACTGGTAAACTAAATAGTGAATATTCATGCAACTCACTCAGTGCATAGCAATGTGAATGAGTGAACTGCAAGCCAACACAACAACAATATGGATAAGTCTCACAAGTGAGGCAGAGATCTGATTCCATTAATATAGACTTCAGAAACAAGTAAAACTGATCCATGGTATTAGTGGTCAAGATGAGGTGGTCTTGGGGTCAGGGAGTTCAGAAGGGGCTGAACGTATTGTATTTCTTGACCTAGGTGGTGGTTACATAGCATGTTCACTTTGTGAAAATGTATTTAGGTATACCGTTGTGATTTGTGTACTTTTCTGCATGTATTTTATACTTTAAGTAGAAATTTGCTAATGGAAAAACAAAACAAACTTATGGAGCTCTGCCCAGATGTGAAACAGTGTCTTATATCATGGGGATAGATGGATTGATACGGTGGCTGCGATGATGGGATCAAGTATAGCAGGGATTGTGGGGCTGGCGCGGGATCGGGCAGTGTTTCGTTCTGCTGTGCATGGGGTCGCTATGAGTCGGAAACGACTCGACGGCACTTAACAACAACAACAACAACAACAAGATGGAGGGATAAGGCATGGTCCCTTAAGGGTCATGGTCTCTGGGGGTGGCCAACAGGTAACTAGATCATTAGAGATCACAGGATAAAAACTAAAGAGTGTGGGAAACTTCTGGGGGAAGAGAGGCCCAGGGATGTACAGGGGTGTGTCAGACAAAGGTCTGGGAATCATGTCATTCTTCTGGGTATCACAGACCAAAACTGATTTTGAAGTGGTTGGAGAACACATCACACAAAGAGGAAATCTACTCTCCACTTTGTGTTCTTGGGCCCTTGGGTGGCATGCAGGTGCTTTCCTATTTTCATGCAATGTGTGACATGGACTGTCCTCCTCAGGGCAATAAGAAGGAGCACCCGACGTTGCCAGAGTATGTGCCTCTCTTCTCAGACACAGTTCCTAACTCCACAAACCAGGTTGTGGGCAGCAGGATGGACACACCTCTGGGGAAAATGCTCATAAACATGGACTTCTTCTTCGTGGAAGGAGTTCGGAAGAAGAAGCTTGAAGAAGAGCTACAGCCCATCTAGGACCAAAGAGGTCCTGGGCATGCTTTCCTGAGGTGGGTGTGGGAGTAGAGTGGGATTCTCTGAGTTGACATTGACATAGCACACAGCTTGGCCAAGGGAAAAGAGTCCACTGATGTTAGCTGGTACTCTTATCATCTCTAAGCCCCACAGCAGCCTTCTGGGAGGCTTCATTAGTTCATTTTCACAAATGAGGAGACTGAGACTAAGAGGAGTTAAGCAACTTGCCCAAAGCCATATAATCTGTAATGGTGGAAATTCAACCACAACCCTTAGAACAGCCTGTGAAAGGGAGCCTTATAAGGGCAGCTGCGTACAGACAAGGCAAATTCATTAGGCACAGACTCTGTGGTTGGCACATTAAACAAATTGTCTCTTTTGTAGGTATTATTCTTCCCATTAGAGAGATATGGAGACTAAGCAAAAGACTGAATTCCTTTTGATCAGGATCACACTGCTAGTAAGTGATAGAACCATGTCTGATTTCATCATGTCATAGTCCCCTTTCAAAGCCTCAGTCTCCACAACTGTAAGATAGGGGAGGGTCAGATTCTTAGGCCTTCACCACTTCTAGGATCCTATTCAATGAATAGTGAATACTGCAGGTTGTTTAGTTCTCTACAGGGTGTATGAGTCAGCTAGGATAAAGCAGTTTAATAAACCAGCCCATTTTTTTGCTCACAGGTCTGCCTGTCAGATAAAGGTTGTCTGATCTTGGCTGGGCCTGACTAGATGTGGCTCCAGTCTTCAGGTTGGGCCCAATTACGTTCCATGTGTCTCTCATTCTCCTGGATCAATAGCTACGTGGGGCATGTTCTCCTCCTGGCACCTCACCAAAGCACAAGAGCCAAACCAAACCATGCCAGCACATTGAAGGCTTCTGAAGACATCACATATGCTAACGTTTTGTTCATCAAAAGAAGTCACATGTCCAAACTCAATCTCACTTGGGTAAGAAAATGTACTTCACCCACAGTGGAAGGGAGCAGATGGTAAATATTTGCTGAGCAATAATCCAAACATACAGAGGCTGTGACCAATTCCACAAATAGCTTTGGGCAATGTTTATCTGTGCAAATGCTTAAAACAAATGCCTAAAGTAGAGTTTGGGCTCCATGGCTACATGCAGACCAAGTCCCTGGAATGCAGGGGTTTCCTGACTGGGACAAGCGCCTACTTCTGTTTATGACTCCAGCGTGAACTTGCTTGTGCCTGAGCCTACTCTAGGGTGGTCGGCTCAGAGACAGCAGGCCAGTGGCCCTCGGGAATGCTATTGTCCACAAAACTAGGTGCAGACAGATGTGCCTGTGGAGTTCAGAGGAAAGTTTATCCATCTGAGTCCTGATGAACTAAGTCCTGCAGAAGTTGGCAACCAAGCTGACCCTTGAGGAAAATGCAGAGGAGATAGGTACAGGGAGGCTGGGTGGGGCAGACTGAGCCAAGAAAGGGAAGCTGCCAGCACACTGACCTTAGGACAGAGCCCTTTGGAAAAAGTTCTTTCTGCACCCTCCACCCACTGGCCTGTCTGGCCATGCTCCCTTGCGAGTGGCTCCATCCTCAGGAGACTGCTCCTCATAACCAGCCAGTGCCCCCTCCTTTCCTTGCCACATCTGCCTTCTTTCAAGAGCATGCCTACTCCTTACCATCCCATGTTGACCATATTTTACCCACCAGGAGCCAAGGAAATTAGGATAAAGGAGCATTTGCACTGAACGACCAGCTGCCAGCTCCATGCTTTATGTGAACCAGAACAAGGGTGGTTGGGTGGCTCAGGAGGCCCTCAGGCCTGGCTGCAGACAAATGGACAACAATTCCATGGGCTCAGAAGCAGTCCAGCACAAAGGGGCCTTATAAATCAGGACACAAGAACATCTCAGGGCATATGGGCTGGGAAGCAGCCAGGTCTTATGAAGAGACTGGGATTACAGGCTGAAGAGCAAGCACGAAGGCTGGCAAGGTCCTTTCTTCACTTTCATTGCTGCTTCTTCTCTGAGCACTTCTGCCTCAATCTTCTCTCTGTGGCAGACTCAGCTTCTCTCCTCTCTTGTGATATAAATGACTGCCATCTAGATAGATGCACAAGTGGAACAGGTGTGGAAAGGTGAATAGGGCTACACTCATGAATATTTACAGTTTTGTCAGAGGATATTTCTATACACAAAGAATATTAAATACACCATAGTCTACCAGAAGAATAACCAAATATGTCTTGAGAGAAGTCCAGCCAGAATGCTTCTTGGAAGCAAGGATAGTGAGACTTCATCTCATGTACTTTGGATATGTTATCAGGAGGGATCAGTTCCTGGAGAAGAACATCATACTTGGTAAAGTAGAGGGTCAGTGAAAAAGAGGAAGACGTTCAATGAGATGAATTGACACAGCGGTTTCAACAGTGGGTGCAAACACAGCAATGACTGTGAGGAGGTGCAGGACCCAGCAGTGTTTCATTCTTTTGTACACGGAGTTACTATGAATCAGAACCAACTTGACAGCACCTAACAACAACAGCATTTCTACATGTGTATTTATATTTGCTGCAAATACATGTATAAATATAATAGAGCATTGAATAGGATCCTAGAAGTGGTGAAACTTCTTAGCTATAACCAAATATATTGAGGGAATGACTATTGCCCAAGAACCATAGTCTCAGGGCACATCAAGGTCAGGTGACACAACATAGTCCAGAAAGAAAATGTTCCACATCCCACTTTGATGAGTGACAACTTGGGTCTTACAAGTTTAAGATGTTTTAGCAGCCATCTAAGATAACACTATTGATCTCTCCCTGTCTGAAGCAAAGAAGAGTGAAGAAAATCAAAGATGCATAGAAACAATTAGTCCAAAGGATTATTGGACCACACAAACCTCAGCTTTCATGATCCTGGGACCAGAAGAACCAGATGGTGCCCAGCTACCACTACCAACTGCTCTCAAAGGAATCACATTAGAAGGTCCTAGATAGAGTTGGAGAAAAATGTGTAACAAAACTCAGAATCATAAAAAAGACCAAGCTCACTGGTCAGATAGAGACAGATAGAAATCCCAAGGTTATGGCCTATAGTCACCCCTCAAGCCTGAAACTGAACTCACACCTGTGGTTTGATTTTCAGCCAAACAATAGACAGGTCTATAAAGTGAACAATAACACTAGGGAGGTAAGAACCCCTTAGAACAATCAACCATTTGAGATCAAAGGGTAGCATTTGGCCAAGGACTGTTTGGAAGGCTTTGGAAGGCAGGAAATGTTAGGAAAGAAGGAGGAATAGATATGGAAACAATGGAAGGAAGTGGGATGACTAATATTGCAGTGTGGGAATTGTAATCAATGGCATGAAAATGTGTATGAACTATTGAATGGAAAAACTGATTTGCTCTGTAAACCTTCACCCAAGTTACAATAAAAAGGCTTTTTTCTTTAAAAAAAAAAGGCTGCCATCCAAGGAACATACAGCTGAGCCTGAGACATCTTCCCATGGTAGAAAGTAAGTCCTCAAAGCATGATGGAGAGGTGTGTTAAAGGAGTCCTCATTGGCTATAGAACTGCCCTGTACATTTTCCAAGGATGTAAATTTTTCTGGAAGCAGACTGCCACATCTTTCTCCCATGGAGCAGCTGGTGGTTTCAAACTGCTGACCTTTTGGTGAACCACTGTGGTAGTTTGGTTTGTGTGTCAACTTGGCAGGGCTTGGTTGAGTGGCTGGGCAGCTGGTGGTAGTTATTCCCCATGAGGAGATGCAATCAACTCCATGGTGGGATCTACCACAAGCAGCTGGGTATCTGCTTTTGGGTATGTGGTCTGCTTCCTGTATATAAGGAGAAGCCTTTGGGAATGGTCTCTAGCCTATGGCATGCTTGGACCCTGCATATAACTGTGTCATTGCTCAGCAGCCTGCCATGCTCTGCAGACCTTGGGACTTACAATGGACTTAAGTTAATGGCCCGCTGTGTGGTTTGGTAGCATTGGGACTGTGCCTTTTTACTTGTCAACCTTGGGCTTCTCAGCCTCAGCAGCTAGCAGCTGTCTGAGTGAAGAAATGCCTCTAGCTCCAGTGGGTCGGGAGCAGGAGGCAGAGCTGGACACCAAGGTTGAGGGGCTTTCACCCAGCCCCTAGAGCCTGGCACTTTGAACTTGGACTTAAAGCCTCCAAATTATAAGAATAAACTCCTGCTTGTTAGGGCCATCCCATATGTGGTATATTCTTGTCAGAGCGGCATGAAGTAACCAGAACAACCACCAAGAGCTTTAACCATTGTACCACCAGGGCTCTATGTAAATAGTGACAAATGAAACAAACATGGAAAAATTGTTGGCAATTGATGGATTAAGGTAAAGAGGGTGTTTGTTGTACTGCTCTTCCAATCTTTCTGTAGGCTTGGGAATTTTAAAAATTAGGATCAAGGAAAAGACCATCACCAGTAGCTGCTGAGTTTATGTCTCTGTCTTGAGGAGAATAGCTAGAATGAAAATGGAATCAGTTCTCAATCTCAGAATCCCCTGGAATGTATTCTTCGGCCCATTCTTAGTCAGGCAGCCAACTTACTGTATTCGGTTGTGACAGGAGGAGCTGTGGTAACAAGCTGTGTCCTGTGTAACCACGTAGATGCTGGGATGCAGAAAAACCAAAAAACAAACTCACTGCCCTCGAGTCAGATCCGACTCATAACGACCCCTCCTGGGGTTTCTGAGGCAGTATCTCTATGAAAGTAGATTGCCCAACCTTCCTTCTGAGGAGTGGCTGGTGGGTTTGAACTGCCAGCCTTCTGGTTAGCAGTCAAATGCCTTAGGCACTACGCTACCAGAGCTCAGAGTTCTCCAAAATAGGGGCACTGATTTTGGGTTGGAGAGACGTCTCAGTGGATGTGCATGGTAGAAAATCCCTCCATCCAGGCACACCCACCCTCCTGTAGACACCAAGAACCTGATGTCTGGAGCTATTTGGAGGCAACCATCAGGTCACAAGAGTCTATATGCTAGGGAGGTATCCTAGTTGGGGCATGGG